CAAACCTTATTGTTAAAGAAAACGGCAACCTCAGGAACCATCTGTCCTCCACCAGCGATCAACAGAGATCCCAAAAAATTCTCTCTCCCGTCACTTCTGAGTTCACCAATGGGAATTTGCGAACCAGTCACAATCACAGGTTTACGAAGCCCTTCGAGAATAAATGAAAGGAACGAGGCCCCATAAGCCAGGGTATCCGTTCCATGAAGAACAATGAATCCATCAAACCTGTCATAAAAGAACTCAATATGCTTGGCGATCTGGATCCAATTGTCAATTGTGCAGTTGGAAGAGTCAAGAAGATCTTTGTACTCTGCAATCGTAAAGAAAATACGACGATTTTCGGTTGTTGGAGGCAAGCAAATTAATGGCCATGGAGATTCGCTTTCCTGATTCCTTTCCGAAGAACCATCCACATACTCAGCACGTTTCGATTTGTAGTAAGTTACGTGAATTTGATTCCTCTCCACAAACCTAAAAAAACATTTATTTATATGCGGATAGCTGAGTCTTCGAAAAATAAGAATTTAATAAATAGTTGCTAACCTATTGATGAATCAATAAGTTTCCTCCAAAAACTCGTGATCTGTTTAGAAAACAGCATTGTTCACAAACTCTAACACCATAACAGAAGACATATCAATGACAACTACCAAATGCATAAATGTAAATACAAACGCGTAGATTTAACGGCAAACCAAATTACAGATCCAATTCAAAATGAATTTTGAGCGTACGATTTATCCTGGAACATTGACATCGACATCACTTTCTTTACTAAGAAATCAGGTTCTGGTTCGTAGACGCCCCCATGAGACCGCATTCCGATAGTTCCACCAGTGTATAAGACCAATACGGTGCCAACTGATGAGCATGATGGATCGGACAAAGCAGCTTCAATTAACGCAGGTGTAAACTGGAATGATTCCAATAATGGGATCTAGCGGGAAACAAAGAATATATGCAGTAGCACAACGACCTCATTCGCATAGGTAAACAATAATATCTTACTTGAGTAAAACAGTTGAGCAACTCGTCAGTCATGCCGTCGAAAATCATCGAATGCTGGAGACAAATAACTAAAGAGTATCTTCCATGAATGCTAAAATGAAGCTGCCGCACCTTGAAAAAGGACTTTTAGAGACTATGAGGGGGAGCGAAAAATAGAGGACTTCAGCTGCAATGAGGCAGAAGCGTATTGATAGCAAAAACCGTTAATGCGTAATTTCCCTTATATTCGCAGCTTCCAACGCGCTCAGCCACACGAACCCCACGTCTGCACGTTTACGAAGCTACACGAACTTCCAATTGCATCTGTGGTTACTTTAAACAATTACATCTTAGAGTGACTTTTCAC